TACTCAACTTCCCGGTACCCTCTGTCCAACAAACATGGAAGTGGACAGGGGGCTTCCCCAAAGAGACAATCGTCTTCCAACCGCCTGTCCGCTTCCATGATTGTTGGGGGGAGTCAACCACCAGGATATGGAGGCCAGTTCTTAGTCCAACTGTTTCCATTCAACTTCCCAAACAACAAATTTGTGGTTTTGATTGGTTCATTAAGTAGGCCGTCGGACAGTTTAAGACCTAGCCAGAGCAACAGGATTGGGGTGGATCAACTCCCCCCACGTACCACCAGAACCGCTCAAGCCGTCCCGTGGAAAACTCAACATCGTCCAGCGATTGGTTCATTAACCCGCTTCCTTCCAGGGGCGCTGGGCTTGCTTGAGGCAGTGTTAAGACAATAGCAGTTTCAAATTTGACGCAGTGAGACAAAAAAGAGTGATGTGACATTTGCGAATCTCAAGTTCGTGTACTGCCCCCGCACTACACACCCAGCGGACTAACAACACAACCAATTGTTAGTCGCACATGCTCCGAACCTCCACGCGGTGTGCCCCGGTAACTCACCCCTGTTTTTTTGTGGTTCACCCCTGAGTGTCCCCGGCAGTTCGTCTGGTTGTCTGATGGTCACCGGTGTTTGTCTGACAGGTCACATTGACGCAGTCAAAGCTTTGGTGTCCGCACGCAGTCGCACGGTAGTTGATATAACGCACTTGTAGGGGGGCGGACAATAACACAAAGGTCGAGCGTATACGCACGCATGGTCAGCCGTCATAGGGTGAGGCAAACGTCCTTCCTCTACAAGAGGTGGTCGGATTAACTCCGATCGACGGGGAGCAACGGGACGGGCGACTAGGTGTGGGGACTTGGGACAACGCTCACCTTGGGGACTCGGTGTGGCTCTGTCCTCTCCCCTCAACCTTCCGTTCCGGTAAGAGGCGGGTGGGCTCCGACTCTTCGAACTTTATGACGGGGGTCATCTTCGTGTACGGCAAAACAGACTAACCTTAGCCCCAACAGGGTACAACCCATGGTTCTGCACACGTAGCTGTGCACATGCTCAAAGGGCCGGTACACGAGACAGAATGAAACGAAAGCGGACCTCACTCTCGAGCGTCACACACTGGGCCGCAGTAGGTTCTTCTCTCTTGTCTGGACGAACTTATGCAGGTAGAAAGTCGTCAAACAATTCGACACAAACTTCGTGAACGACGAAAGCGGTTGGTTGGGCGGGGCTTGTTTCGTAAACGACAGGCCCGAACACGTAAAATGACGGGTCGGATCCGTATTGGGACGTGGAACGTGCGCAGGTTGGGAGCGGTCGGGGGCGCAGTAGATCCAGCCATCAAACTGGCGCAGTTAGCGGAAGTGTGGGAACTTCGTGAATGGCAGGCGGTCTTGTTGCAGGACGTGGATCTTGGGGCAAGTGGGAGAAAGAAACTGCGAACCAAAAAGGGGGAATGGAATATCATCCATCGGGGGAAAGTTGCCATTGCAATAAACAGTGAGCTGACGCAGGTTTGGGAGCAGGGGGGGTGTCAGGTGCACGTCGATGGAAATCGAGCGGTTTGTAGGGTCATGGGGGTGCATGTGCCACGCACACGAGATTTCTTCTGGACACGTAGCTGGCGCGTGGTGGTATCGTCTTGGACGTACGTGGTTCACATTTCGTGCACCCCCTGCACAAATTTGGGCTGACGTCCTCTGGCGTCGCGCGGCTTACCGCAAAGCCCAGCGTCCTTTGGCGCAGCACCCCGCACCGTGCACCCCCCCCATTTGGGTCGACGTCCTCTGGCGTCAAGCGGCTTTCCGCAGGCCCGAGCGTCCTTTGGCGCCGCACCCCCGCACTTCCCCCTTTGCACTTTGCACCGTCATGGTCGCGCACGGTCGTCGGTCCTGTCTGGTCCTTGTGCGTTGGTGAGGTGGGTTGTTCTGGTTGTGGTTCCCCTGGGAAGGGCCACCAGCAAGGGCAACGCCCCGACAGGGAGCGCAGCCGGGGGAGGGATGAGGCGGACGGGGTGGAGGAAGCCCTGAGACGGGCGGCCGAGGCGGCGCAGGCTGCCAGGGCGAACCCGGAGGGGTGATGCGGCGATCTAGCCGACCGGCCTTTTTGGCAGCACGCCCGATGCCGGTCACCAGCAGCTTCACTGGTTTTTTTGGGCACACAATGCCCCGGCACCGGTGCACAGTTTTCACTACTGCACGATGGGCTATAGCCCGTGATGATGGCGGACTACGCTGGCGGGGTCTACTTCTTTTTGGGGCAGCAATTTGCCTCCGCTTGACCAACTGCCGCGAACTTCGCTTGCCACTGCAATCACACTCAATCTATCTCTCTCTCTCTCTCTCTCTCTCTCTCTCTCTTCTCCTTTCAATCTACTTCTTCAGAAAGGTCCGCTGACACACTGTCGGACACTTTCTCCGTCCCCAAAAGAGGGACCCCGAGCCCGAGCCAGGGGCTGTGCCGACCAGGCTTCCCTAAGGGAAGCTGTAGGTCGACTGCTGCTGCTGCTGCTTCCTTCCAGTTGGTGGTTTGGATTGGTGGTTTGGTCTTCCGGGGTGGTTTCACATTTACCCTCTAGAAGCACCAAAGGTTCAAGTTCCCACCAATGCAACCCACCAACCACGGGTTACCTGATAAAGGGCTCTTCAAATGGGTTTGGCACAAGATAAGAGACCCTAAAAATTGGTGGACTTCCGTTTGGTCTCCTTTCAAATTCACTCCGAAATGGGTACAATCAAAAAAGGACACACCCAAATCAGTACACCGGGGTGAGCTGGTAGATGGCACCATGCCATGTACTTTGAATCGGACACACGTTCTAAGTTGGGAACCTCTCTCACTCATGGGTTTTCACCTCCACAAAAGGCTTTTTCCCTGCAAACAACCAGCTGCAAAACCAATGAAAGGGCTCATCGGCCCGTCTGCGATTTTCTTGTACTCCAACTGATTCTCGGGGACTACCACTCCCGACTCCCAACCAGTCGGCGTTTTCCCCCACGTTCTGCGCGCCGTAGCTGGCGTCCAGCTTCTTCTTCCGGGAGGCACGCGCCCTGGCGGAGGACGACCCGAGCCTCCCAAACGGGAGCCATCGATCGCCCCCCCAACCAAAAAGGACCCAGACGCGGGGACAAGAAGAGCTACATGGAAAATATAGGGGCGGTGATTCTGCATTGCCAGGGGAGAATTGACATGGCGCAAACTGAGCTCCACCGGGACACCAACAAAAACAACACTTCTAGGATTAATCGGGGTGAACTATAATATTTCACCAGCCTGAAACTTGTGGTGGTTGGGGGGCTATTCCCCACATAACCCACCATGTGAGGTGAATTCGGTCGTGTGAGGTCGTTACAATTCACCCGGATTCATGTTTGAGCTCCGAACGCTTGCCAAATTTGAATCAGCACTTCCCACCGGCGATGCTGACAACCTGCCAAGGGAAACATGCGTGCGTCTCAAGATGATGGACCCCCTGTTGCTTGGTATCCAAAGGGACACCCAGAGGAAACCCGTGCCACACAATTCAGGGTCTCCTTTTGGTTGATTCCCGCCTTAGCCACATACTAGAAGCCTTAAGAATTATCAGAACGTGATAAGTTGAGTCCTGATCATACGAAAGACATAGAAAGACAATGTCTAGGTTTACCCTGATTTCTGTAGTCTATTTTACTAGGGGAAACCTCCCCAAAAAAAGGGTATAAGGGCACCACTGGGGGACCTAGACCTAGACGTGTGCAGTTGCATAGCCTCTCATTCCCAAGCTCCTCGATTGAACCACTCTCCAGCCCGCCAGCTGGCTCCGCTGCCGTCCAGCGGGGAGTCGAACCTGGCCAACGGCATCGGCTTTGGCGTTTTCGGAATCATCCCGACTAGGTCCTCCAGTAGAGAGGTTAGAATAAGGGTACATAATTTTCTGTACTCTCTTTTAGTAGGGGAACCCTCCCCCAAAAACGGGTAAAAGGGCACTACTGGGACCTAGCCAAAAACTCGGCCGGCTGGCCGAAGCAAAAAACGACGGCTATAGTACCAAACTCCGTTGTACGAGTAATTCTCTGTGCCCGCTGCTTGACATGTCATGGCTTCGGATAACGGGGTGGGACATGTTTGGGCCCTGGTAGAACAAATCACCATTCGGGTTTGGGAACAAATCGCTTGGGATCCAAATAACAATCGCCAGTGGGATGACTCAGTGGGTCATGCCCCGAAAACCAGAAAGGTCCAAGTCTGCGAGAAGGTCTGCCCCGACTTTCCGAATCCAAAACCCTTCAGCTCCAAGCAGAGGTCCCCAAAGGGTCGCCTTGATTGGGCTACCCAAATGCGGGAGTTACGCTATCTACTTTCGTACTCAGTACCCTCCAAAGCAATCGATTGTCAACACCAGACGCTCAAATGAGCAGGTGCGGTGAATGTGTCCCTGAAAAAAGGGAACCAAGCCTTTTGATTTGCGATTGACGATACAGTATTAGGACCTTGACTCAAAATGACACACGCGTGAACAACATGTCAAAGCGTTTGACAGTGACAAGCACGTGACAGCTCTTGACAAGCTAGACTGCTACACAAAGAAGTCATGGCTTGCTTGGCGCCTTGCCCCCTGCAGACTGTCGGCTTTCTCACTTGACCAGATGCGCATCCTGGCGTCATGTGCATTATCATTTTGTGGCTTCACATCTCAGCCGAGCGCCTGCCTTCAGCAAAGCACTCGTGAAGAGAACGATTCACCACTGATTCGCCACTGGTTGCAGGTCAGCAAAACGCTAATCTTTGGTGGGCTCCCATTTTCAGCAAACTGGTGTGACAAACAAATAAACAGCTCCAGACATGTAACCAACACAGGCGCAGTGGTACAACCGTATCTTGCTTGAGCCTTCCCGCCATCGCTTCAGGGTTGCTCGGAAAGCCCTGACAGGGTCGAAACTTGGCGCCTTAACCATGGGAGACTAAGGAAACACGGAACCCAAGGAGAACCAAGGGAAACCAAAGGCAACAAAACCAACCTTCTACTCTTGTGGCCTTAAACCCTGAACATCTTTCGCTGGCGTTCGGTTCATTCTGATCCGCGGCAGCGAAAGCTCAAGTCTAGGTCAGCTTGCTTTGCAAGCTGGGTGGGGCAAAGTTCACTGCACGCCAGTCTTGTTCTGGGCAAGGCTCAGGTACATGACTCTCCCATCGCGAGGTTATGTAGTCAATAGTACCACACAACCCCCACTGTAAGTATTTATGGCATATTTATGGCCTTTCGGCAAAGGGCTCTGCATCGTCTCCCCTGATTGCATGCTGATTCAGTCAATCCTTCGATAGAATACGGAAGTTGCTATGGACAAAGACTCCTGGAGACTTTCTCGGAGGGTGCTGAAAGAGAATCCAAACGAAACCAACCATTTGGGCCCCAAAAATTGTGGTTCTGTTGTTTTCCTCTAAGACCAGCAAAAAAGGGGTACCCTCAAGAAAGACACACCCATTTCTGCCGGATCTCCCTAACTTTCTGAGGTCTTTTCTGGTCCCCTCTTACGCCAAAAACACCCACCAGCTGCTCCCAAAAATGACCCATTTGTTCATCAACCCCACCCGATGTTCTCACACCGCAATTTGCAGCAGAGCCTCCACCATCTGAAATCGGAAAGACACAGTTTGAAGAGAGCGCGCGTCAAAATTTCTGCGACGCACTTGCATAGCTGCCGGAACTGGGTCTAGATGTGCAAACTGGCAGGCCGGGCTGGGGTTCCTCTAACCAGACGGTCTTTGGCTGTCCATTTCCCCCACCAAAGCACTGGACCAAGACCACCAACACGGGCTGATGTGCTTGGGATGGTCCCTGAATCCCGTGTCTTGGGCTCGGCAAACAAACATTGCACCCGTGTCGTGCAAGGTCCCTTGAAAACAAGTCTCTTTGACGTCACGTTGTGCCTATGCCAATCTCTTATATGGGCATCTCTCAAAAGGGGGATACCGCCCAAATTGGCTTCCCTTTAAGCCAACCCAAACAATCTAACTGGCTCCCCCGTAAAAACACACAGCCATATCCTGTCCATTTTCTGTGTCTCGCTCAAGAGACACCTCTGCCCCCTTAAGGAAGCACAAGGAAAACGCCAAGAGTTTGGAAAGTGCTCCAGCGCATTCCCTCAATAGAACCCAATTCAATTACAAATGGACACATAGCACTTGTAAAGATGCCCAACAGGGCGTCCACTTTGTGCATTTCCTCACTTGCCAAAAGCACCCGGAAATGAAGGGCTAGCCTTTCGGGCCCATGACTGGAAACAAACCACATGTGGAAAGATGAGCTTGATCTGCTTAAAAAGAAAAAGAACACACGTGGAAAACCAGGTCGACTCGCTTTGGCTTTGAGCTATTGGACTTCAGGAACGACGCTGCGCATTCTGGGGGCGGCACTGACTGCTGCAGTCATGATCTCCTCGTTGGCCTTTGAGACTCGAAGAGGATTTCTTTGTTCGGATCCTTTCGCGTCCCCGCCTTGAGAGGGAAAATCCAGGCCCATGAGGGTCCATCGAATTTTGGCCCTTGCTTTTTGAACCCTCAAAACGGCTACGGGCCTCCGAAAAGAAGCCCCTTGATGTTGCTTGGTGCAGGGGAGGGGAAACGGAGCCTTTTGGGGCTCCCGCAGGCTTGGGCACACCCGTATGTACCGTATGGGTGTGTCTCAAAATGGGGAAGCCTCTCGCAGTCTTGCTTTGATTGGTTTTCCCTAAATTTCCCTTACGAAGAAGAAACCCTTGTCTTCGGTGGGTCCTGGCCTTATTTCACTTACGAACCCTTTCCATGGTTGCCATGATGAGACCATCCCCTCCAGCCCCAAGTGAGTCGCAACCAAAACCAGGCAACATGGCCCACCCAAAACCATGCAAAGAATCAAAAGGCGGCCGCACTCATTTATGTTTGGGACCGTCTCAACTAGCCTTCATGTGGCCGGCTCAAGCAAAAGGGTCAATTGACCATTCAGCTTCCCTCTGGATTGGAGGTGTTCCGGGCCAGTTTCCCAATAACACTCTACAAGAACCAGGGCTTCCAACCCAAATCCAAATCCAAACCAACAACTACCGCCCATCCACTAACATGGAACCCAACCGTAGGCAGGACGGGATTCCGAAATGTCAGGTTCCATGGCAACGTAGCTGGGCTGTGCTCAATTCGCCTGCGAAAAGTCTAAAACTTTGAGTGGATTGGCGGAATTCTACCACTCAACTCACTTAAGAACAAAAAAAAAACGAACAAACCCAAGGCACCGCATGTGGAAACTAATTACCACCAAACCCAAAAAAACAATCTAACAAAAACGACACAAAAAAGCAACCATCTAAAAAACCACACAAAAAAAACAAAACACGGATGGCTGGGGACCTGCCAAGGCGGGGATGACCATGGCAACCCTGGCCCCGGTTTCGCTCGGCCCAGCGGCACGGAGCTCGTCGGAGGCGAACTCCGAGACCATCCCGTCGCCTCGGCGTGAGAGCGGCGGTTGCGCCTTCGCGGTGGCCACCGACCAAACCAAACGAAGAAGAAGTAAAATGAAGAAGAAACAAAAACGAGAAACACGGGGGAAGACCAAACCAAAAAAATATCTAAAAATAAATAAACAATCTGAATCATGGCTCTGAAGAGCTGGGCTCTTTGAGAGGGTGTGGCAAATGAGAATCCAACCAGATGGCAAAAAGATAACCACTAAACAATTGGGTAACAGAAACACTGCTTTCCTCTGCAGATGAACATGGAAACCAAGAGGAATGATTTTTTCCCGTTCCATATGAATCGGGGGACCGAAAAGTGGCGAACCCCCTCTTGAGCAGTCCTTTGCGACGTGTTCACCTGCAAAGTGGGGTCAAAATGCAAGCTTTGATCCGGGGCAGTTCTTTCCAGCCTTCTTTTCCCCAAAAAGCATGGAGAGGTGCGAAGCATCCAGGCATCAGAAGGTTGGCTGGCACAGCCCTTGAAAAGCAAGGAACTGGAAGGGAAGGGCTGGACGCGGCGGAATGCAGGTGACTTTTTTCTGACCCGTGCAGTTTAAGTGACGCTCGCGAAACTTCTGATGCCTGATCTTTAAGCAAAGGCATCCTCCCAAAAGACGCCCAGCCGTTTGGATTCTCACCTAAGCTCACTATAACGGAGAGGCATGTCTTCATGTCTGCATGTCTCACGCCAAGTTGCACTCCACACAGCGCATGACAAAGTCGAAGTTCCCTGCGGCACGGGACGAAAAGGAGTGCCAGCAACAAAGCTGAAATATCGGTCTACCCACACCCACACGGCGGAATGGGCGAATATTCGCACCAATTTCTGCGACCTGGGCCTTACTACACGCGGGTTTGGCTTTGTGGCTCATTTGGGGGGTGGAAAAAATACAAAAATGGAGTCGGACAAAAACTGGGAGAAGTTGCGAGCAGGCCTTTCATCAATATCTAACGTAAAGCTAGTTCTACATTGAAATATGACATAGTCATCATATTGAATCTTCCAGACAGTTGTTAGGGCTTCCCCTCAAGGGATGCCGCTGTGGTGGTCTTCCAAGGGCTTGCCCTTGTGTGCCTTTTTAGGCAGGTTCGCCCTCCGTTGAGGGAAGGAAACCAAAGGTAGGCCCCGCCCCGATTGGTGGTTTCTTGGCTTGTTTTTTGTAGGGGCATAATCTCACCCCCCTATTAATAAATACGCCCCACCCCCCAATAAATCCTCCCAAAAATATGTGTTTGTTTAATTGGGTTTTTCGGGGCTGTTTTTGTTTGCTTTTCCAACAATGTGAGGGTTCACATAGGATTTGGAGGAAATGGATGGAATTGTAAGGTTCGCGAGTAAGCGGTTTAATAAGGAACTTTTATGTATCATTCTAATTGTAAGCTCAGACAGAGAGGCCGTGCGAGGAAAAAAAGGAGCAGGAAGAGAGTCGGGGACAACCTTTTGGGGAACCCACCAAAAGGACCCAACCTTTTGGGGAACCCACCTTTTGGGGAAGCAACCTTTTGGGGACCCCCCTTTTGGGGAAACAACCTTTTGGGGAACCCACCTTTTGGGGAAACAACCTTTTGGGGAACCCACCTTTTTAAAAGTAGGGCTGGAAGCTTGTTAAAAGTGCCCCCTAATAAGGATTCCAAGACTTTAGTAAGGGTTTAGTATTGGCTCAATTAAAAATCAATTGTGCGGAGTGGAAATCTGGTCCCGGGCCCCGGATTTCTTTTTCATATGTATATATATATATATTAATTGGGGTCATTCATTAATAGGGGAACGGATTATGCCACTTTGCAAGTCACAATCAAACCTGGTACTTTAATAAAGAGCTATATCCAAAGGTATCCAAAACCAGGCGGAGAATCAAAGCGGAAACTTCCGGATTCAGATTGTTGGCTGGCCCTCGCCCCTCATCTACCGTCTGGAGGAAGTGGCTGTCTGGTAAAAGCGTCATCACATCTCTTCCAGGGAACGTCTCTGGAAATGTTACTATAATTTCAAAAGCTGAATTCAGGGATCCCCAACTAAAGAACCTTTCTCATGGTGAGCTCGTGTTTACCCCCGAGCTCGCCATAAAATAGGCTTTAAAGGGGACCAAAAGCCGACGCCTGACACCAAAAGGCGATGATCACCCACCCCGGCCTGAAACCCGTTCCCCGCCTCTGAGGCGTTCGGTGGCGTAGGATAGGGCGCGGCGGTCCGCCTGCACCGCCGGGAAGACCAGGTCCTGGCCCGGTGATTCCTTCCCAGATTCATATTCCACTTCCATTTGTCAGTACCAGTGTCGGGCGCCGATGTTTGTTTTTTCAGATCAGCTCATTGCATGGACTCAATGGGGCCAAAGCCAATCGGGCCCAAGAAATGGACCCCAGCTGGATTGGTTTCGAGAGGGGACATCAAATGGACCTTTCCTCGGGGGACGTGGTGTCCCTTCAGCCAAAGGAGAATGTTTACCACCCATTCTCGTTGGACAGTGAGGAAATGATCCGAATCGAACTGAGCTGTCTAACTTTTGTGGTAGATCCCAAGCTGTTCGTGCCCGGCACCTGAATGAAATTTCTTGACAGCCATCAACAATTCCTCGTCGATTCCGAAAGGTCCCTGGGCCACTATGCAAAGTGTCCCAGGCAAATTCAGCTGCCTGTTGTTTGCCACAAGCGGCCAGGAGAACAAACATGGAGCTAGTACGTCGCCTTGTGGAGTCTTTGCAAAGGGCTGATAACCGCAACAACAACATGAGACGCCCTGTTGTTGAGGGCATCATTTTGGAGTTGCTAATCTTCGAAGCAAGCAAGTCGCACTTGATTTTTGTTTTGTTTTTTGGGGGTCCTCTCATTCTGCGAGACATGAGCACACCCACACACACACACACACACCGGCGAAAAAGCAACTACAGCGCGCCTCCCGGTCTCTCAAACGTTCCGAGGCATGCCTCAGGGACCAAAGCCGCAGGAGACAGCGAGATGCGAATGGGCAGCTCGTCTTTTTTGGAGTTGGTACTGCCCTGCGCACAAACAAGGAACTTGCTTTCCCTCAAAAGGGGACCCTCTGGTGCGATCCATGTTAGTGGACAGGATGGGGACCAAAACCAACAGGAGCACACACACACACACACAAACATATGCACACCCGATAGAATGAGGTTGTGGGGACTATATTGTGGACCTTACCAATTGGTGCTGGATTTTGTCCATCCACGGTATCAAACCAAAGAAATGATCCGTGAGAAATTGGTGTTTGTAAAGCTGACCTTTCTTTTCAAACTGCGAATCGCGATTGTTGCCAACCACAACTCTCAACAAGAGCTTGATCCAAAGTCTAAGACGACAAGGGTTTGGTCTAGAGAACCCTCCAAGCCGGCACACCCGCGGTTGATTTGTTCACCCCTGGTTACCGTTATTTAGCAGGGGATCTGAGGACAGCCAGTTTTCTATTAGGCGTTTGAGTGTTTCTCAAAACGGTTTACCCGTTTGTCTCTTTTGACATCCTCCGTTTGCAGAGTTTTGAAAGCTGTCAACGAAGGAAGGAGCCTACCCAAGCGCTCTGGTGTCAAAGGAGCCACTCGGGATCTTTCTGTCTAAACAAGCGAAACCGAACAGCAATGAATGGGTCTCTGAAGTGAAGCAACCTTTAAAGCCACTTGGCCAGAAAGCTGCTTCCAAAACGCTCGCCTTTCTGCGTAGGAAATTCATCATTGTTCTAACCAGCTAGAGGTGTCAGGTGAGTATGGGTCCAAAATAGGGCAACCCCAAAATGGGTTGCCCACTTCTTCCAGGGAAGCAGATACCAAACACCTGCGGTCCAATTCCTATGCAGATGGATCGCCTGGCCCGGTTTCCTGGGCTTCTGGGCTCCAACGCCATGGCCTCCTTTGTGATTGCCAGGACCACCTGACCGCGGCGGCGCCAGGCGCGGAGGTCAGGTTGTCCGGTGAAACCCGTTCCGAAGGTTGTGATTGGAACGAAGGGAGGCGCCGCTGGGCGTCATTTCGGCCAAAAAGGAAAAGGCGACTGGGAATATGGCCATCCCATCCCAGGCCAAAAAGGGAACCACCCAGGAGAGAATCTCTCATCCACTATCCCCGGCATCACACAATCACAAGGCCCTAAAACCCATTTTCCAGGTTGTCCAATCCTAATTCCAGAGTCCAGAGCATGACGGAAGCCGCATGGCTCAATCCTCCAAAAGGTTGTCTAAAGATCCAAAACCCAACAGCCAAGGAAGGTAAACCACAGTCCACGATGCGCAGATCGAACAACCTGTCTTGGTTCTTAGCATCCCGGCCAGCTCTTCATCGTCCTGGCGTCGGATTTGGTCCACACGCCTGTGGGAGCTCGGGTGGCTCGTGGGGATAGCAACTCAAAGTTCGCACTCAGACAAAGACCAAACTCCGCGTGCCTTTACTGCTGAGTCGTGCAGTCCTTAGGTGTATGGTCTTGAACCTTGTCAAACATGGGCTGATATTGAAGACCTATGCTCGTGAGAAATCACATGTCGGCCAACATTGCAAGTGTTGTTTTTCTTGGATCTGGACACACCCATGCCCAGTGATTCCATTTCCCTGGTGTTGTAGGTAACACATGGTACCAGCCTTTAACAACCCAAATAAACATTGCTCGTTACCTGCAACAAAGGTAGCTGGGATCCACTGGGCAGGTTAAGCCCTACAAAATGGTCTCCCCGAAACCTTGCAGTTTTGCCTGGAAACCCTCTCAGTGAATACTCCTTGGGTTTTTGGATGAATGTCAGAACCACAAGTTGGTCTTGCCAAACAAGGGGACTGTTGGTGCTGGCAGGGCCCAACCACCGCCCTTGATTGCTGCTGGATTTTGGGCCCATTCCGTGCAGAGCGCCACAAGAAGAAATTGACCCAGGGCAACCATGCCATAATTATTCCTTCTGTCCTCAAACCCACAACAACTCAAAGGTCTTCTCTCTCACACCATCACACAGGTCCCCAGGAAGAAATGGAACTGCTATTTTAACACCAATTTGCATTTGCCTACCCTCATCCAAATCAACTCCCCCAAAACGGTCTCCTCTGCCGAGACACAACCCCCGTGCAAGGAACAGATCGAGGGGTTCAAGCACACCTTCCCCCATTCCCTATTCTGACCCCACGTTCAGGGTTGCTGCCCAAAAGGCGTCCCCAAAAAAAGGAAAAAACAGTTCACCAAACAAGCAAATTGGCGAGGGCAACCCCACTGCCAGACGAGGGTTGCATACATTTTCCCCAAACTTCCCTCAACAGAGAGGTTTTTCAGGGGGCCATGTTTTTTTGAAACAAAGCAGTTGCAGACCCCTTCTGTTGGAGGTTTGATATACTCCCCTGGGACTCCACTCTGGAGTCAAATTTGCCAAGGGCCCAGGAACTCCTGTTGTTCGCAGGGTTGTAATCCCAGGGCAGCAAAACCCGCTCATTTTTCTGGGAGAGGTCCCTGGAGCAACCATCCAAAGCAATGAGGGGCCGTTATGGGTTGCAAATTGCGCGTTTTTTACGCCCGAATCAGCGAGCTTACAATTTGCCTGAATATCAAAACTAGGCACCCTTGGAGAAACGTGGGGCCAGTGTAGCACAAGACCCTGGAACACCATCTTGGGAGATTCCTACAGTACCAATGCCTTTTTTGAGAGCCCCCTTCTCGGGAAAAGCTTGATCCAAGTCTGGCTTACTCCAAACAAATGTTTTTTTTGTTGTATTTCCACTGTACAGTGGAGGAGGCTTCACCCTCCTCCCCCCAACCAAAACACCTATTCTAAATGTTGAGGGACCTCCAAAAATTCACTCCCCCCCCCAAACTGTATCCACCCTGCCGACGTTTCTGAAGGCGTCTTGAGCGTCCTGGAGGCGCGTCGACGCGCAGCTCAGCGCGAGGCCGCTGTGCTTCAGCGCCGATTCCACCAGGCCCCGGTCCTCGCAAAAGCTTCCGTCCGGCGATGAAGACGAAGCAACCGATGTCTGGTAGAAGAAAGGGGGGTTAAAAACACCATTGAAACAACGGTTGGGTTCATATAACCATTGTTTATCTAAAGGGTCATCATCTAAATGGAAAGTCATCCCCAAGACGCCCAAAACCAGAGCTGACTTTGGTTCAGAGATAGTAAGAAGGCTTCTATCCAGGTACTAGACTCTTAGAACCACCTCAAGCCAAACCTTGCTGCTTCCTTGTTTGCCCTGAGGGTAGCGAGAATCCTTACCTTATCCCTTGCAAATGGGTTTGCGAGATGGTCCAAGGGTTTTTGGGGCTACGATCGGGAGGCTGTGCCGCCACCTTGCCAAATAGAAGTTGCAAACCAGGGCAGCTGGCAAAGCACAAAATGTAACAGGTGTCAACTGTGTGGATTTGCGACACCTGTGTGTCTCACTTTCCGGCTTGACCCACAAACCACATCGCAAAACAATGGCCACAACTGCCACAGCACACAGTGCGGCCGGGGCACGTCTTGAAGCGATGGGTCGGCATGGAGCAACGCCTACACGGCATGCGCAAGCGGGGGCAAGATGTGTGTCCTCCAACCTCCATTTTCCAAGCACAAGACAGACAGGTCTTTGTTGTACCCGTTGAACATGAACATGAAATGAAAGAAAGAGGTAGAAAACACACACCAACAGGGGCGTTTCCGGATTGGTATGTGTGGGGATTGAGGGTGAGACTCATCTCGTTTCCCATGACCCTGGTTGTTCTTGTGGAGGATCTGGGAGTTTGGAGGAACGAGAGAAAAACAACTCGGCTACCTCTGCAATCATGCTCACAAATGGGTTCCTATGGATAAGCCCTAAGGCAAAGGATTTTCATGACACCTCTTGAGCCAATACCGACCCGCATACCGCTCCGACACCAAGGTTTCCAACTAAAATAGCCCACGAGATAGCCTGGGGCCCTCTTGGAGCCTAGCCAATCCAATTCAATTTGATGTCCAAACGGAGATAAACATCAAGATGCGCAAACCACCCCCAAACGAACAGAATCTAGTTGAAACCCTGCAAATCCGCTTCCTTTGGATTTTGATTTCCTTACTGTACTCTCAAGCTTCGTTTGTTGAAACCACGCTCAGGAAAGAAACTCCAGTAATACAAAAATCAATATGCTTCCTTTAGAGTCCTTGGACCCATGTGACCATCCACCCTAATGGTCCCTGGAGCCATGACTCACCACTTCTCTTGGGCCAACCAGTTCCTCAAGCCAAAGCCGGTTCGCCGAAGCGCCTGCCAGGCGCCCTGCTGCAGGATTTCCGCCACCAGGTCCCGCTGAGCCCGCACGTTGGCCGAGGCCTGAGCCCGTCGCGGCCCGCGGCCGAGCCCCGGGGCGCCCAGCCAAGCGCGGGTTTGCGAGCACAAACTTTACAGATGGACGTGGACGTGTGGGACTCCTATAGATTTCGCATCACTGTTGGAGGGCGGTGGTCGCTGGTGTTTCTCGGCAATTCTAAAGAACCACAGAGGAGGCAGCGTAGTAAAGGCCGCGCCGGTTTGTTTGCGTCCATTTTAGGGTGGCTTTAGGGAAGGTTTGGGTGGGTTCAGGGTCAGCTTTGGGCGGGGTTCAGGGTGGCTTTAGGGACAGAACATGGGTGGGTTTATGGTGGGTTTAGGCTTGGCTTAGTGCCGATTTTGCTCCGCCTGAGCTCTTTCGATCTTGCTCCAGGCTGTGCTAAGAGAAAAGCACAACTCCTCGAGGTTTTGCCCTGGCAACAGCCCTATGGAAACGCTGCCGATGCTTGCTTGCTTGCTTGCTTGCTTGCTTGCTTGCTTGCTTGCTTGCTTGCTTGCTTGCTTGCTTGCTTGCTTGCTTGCTTGCCGGGGGATGTAAAGTCAGCATCCTGTGGCAATTACCTAAGAAACGCCAAAAAAAACGCTTGACTGTCCTTCACAACTGGGCATTCAAGATCCGTGCAACACAACTTGTTGCTTGGGGAGAGCACGCTGTGCACTCAGTTCTTGTGTACGCATAACCAATAGGTACAGGAAAGGCTCCGCATATTTAAGGATATGTCCCAGGAAAAGGGTGAGCCATTGGGGAGCCATGAATGAGTGTTGTCGCCCAAATTTGGCAAACCCAGAAAGGATAAAGTCCAACTCTGGAAGCCAGATCATGCTTGTTTTGGTCCAACCAGAGAGCAAGGTGTGGTGCCACATGCCGGCTTGAAGCCAAAACCGCAGTGGACGTTGTCATAGTATCTTGTCCGTTGTTTCCCAAGGCAAAGGGTCTGTCTAAACTACAAGCGACTGCCTAAACGAACCCCGACTCGCCCCGACAAAACCCGCCTGCGCCATAGCCAGCCAGCTCTGCCTGGACAGCGAGCCCTCCCCCCCAAAAGAAAGGAAGCAAGGGATGACACTGACCGTGACCAACGAACAGGGGCCCGGTCTGTCCCCCAATTTGACCTTCCCACGGGCTAAAAAAAAAAACGGCAGGCCCCAAACAGTTCTTTTTCGTTCTTGTCACTTGTGGGTGTCTAGATTCTGCACAAAGCAAAACAATGGCCTTCCAGTCATGAAGGCCAGGGTCGTGGAAGCCTACCGTCCTCTTGGAAAAGCCATCTGGCCACTTCTGTGACTGTTGACATGGTATGAGTCTGCGGCTTCCTTGAAGGAAAACACAAATTCGCCGGGTTAGGCACCCAGCAGTATCATCTCATCGGCACCAAAGAACGAGAGACCTAACAAACAAGTTCGTTGGAGGGCGGCTGCTTTGCTGGTTTCAAAAATCGATGGCCCACCTTCTGATCTGCTGGTCGTATTCCGTGTGACTGTGTGATGGGTCACGATCGATTCACACGCGCACCTCTGCACTCTCGCTCGCTTCCAGCGAGTTTCCACCACAAAAGAGAGAGATATTACTCTAACTCGACAAATTGCAGCCAGAAATCAGGAATCCACCACAAACGTGGTCTTCATCATGGGTGAGCTCTTTTGTTTTCCCCCAGGTCGTGATAGTTTGCCCAGCCTTACTGGCTCAAGATCTGAAACAAAAGACTCAGCTGAACTTCAAATGGGAGCATCAAGTCAAAAGCGTGGGAACCAAACAAGGCTTCCACATGGGCTTGAGGGAAGGGAACATTAATCTTGGTCGATGTTCAAGTTCAAACCTAGAATTTCAATGTCTGTCACCATCTTCGCAGAAGGCAAGTATGCAAGATCTCCGGGGGGAAAAACAAAAACGCAGTCGAACTACTTCAGCTACCCAAAATGATGGGTTTGATGTGGCTGTGGCTCAAAAAACCGGTACCAAAATAGAACCCTGGTAAGTGGAAACATGGACCAAAACCTGCGCAACCCCTCCTGGATAATTTTGAGCCACACCCATGTGTGTCCTAAGTGAAAAGAACGGCTCGCGGCAATCGCCTGGGTGATCACCGGAACTGGCAATCTAAACCACAACTTTTTCAGAATGCACTTCAGAAGTTCTCAAAATGTTCCAACCGTGATTTCTGTTTTGAGCCTTTCAAGTTCACCCTTTTGGGGGAAATATGCAGAACACTGTTCCGAGTCCCAATTTCAATGCTTGTCAATCCAAGAAAAAGGGTCCGGTCACCTTTCTGTCAGTACATTTTGTCACCATGCCCCTGCAACCCCAAGTCCCAAAACCAAAGGCTTACCATTTTCCAGCAACCCACCCGGACGGTCCCCCGCAAACCTCCCAGCGGCCTCAGCGCAAGTCGCACCACCTCCTTGTCGTTGCAGATGTCGGGGTGCGCAAAAGAGAGGCAGCGCCAACTGGACCGGATGGCCTCGGGCTGCAAAGATAAAAGCCCCACACACGACACACACAAACAGAAACGAAGAAGTACTCCTGTTGTGTGATTTGAAGGGAAACCAAACAGGGGGGGGTTCCCTTAAAACACGCAAGAAACACGCAAATACGTGTCAAGTTGCTTGAGGCTTCTTTGCTTTAGGCGAAACATGTGTGGCTTGAGGTCCGCGTTCTCCCACAAGTTCAAGGCCATGTTCTCAGTGACCTAGGGTTCCCTATAGGGTTGCTCCAAAGATCATTGCACAAGGGATCTAGAGAAGGTTTGTTCTCCCACAAATTCAAGGCCATGTTCTCAGTGACCTAGGGTTTCCTATAGGGTTGCTCCAAAGATCATTGCACAAGGGTATCTAGAGAAGGTTTCACGAGACCCACTACCAACTTTCGACCCTGGTTTGGTCCTCGTTTACAAAGGATCGGAATCATCACAGCTGACAATGAATGTTTAACACCAAAACGGCAGATGTATAGAAATGAAACCCTGACATGTCTGGATACGTTCTCGTGCTTCATTGGAAAACAAATGTTCTATTGGTCTCCGATTCTGTTCACGACGCTTTAAAAGGACCCACATGGCCCAACAAGACTGCCTAAATAGCTAGAATAGGGTTGTAGGCTACCATTAGATTTATTAGACTAAATTCCTTCTTCAAAGGCCGTGAGAAAACACATCACCTTTGAATCTGGTGATTAATTTGTCAATTTGGTCCTCGACCTGTAAGAATTCGTTGATTTGCTGCGATGGTCAGCTCGTAAAAAGCACTGGCTCTGCAGGCCTCAATTGTCTACTTGAAGGCCTGAACAAGCTCGACTTTGGCTACGAGCAGCGTGCAAAGCCCATTGACCGTTGATTCTACCAAGGTTATGAATGTATTGGTTTCAAAGTACTCCATGTTGGTTGAGCTATGATTGTAAGTCTGCAACTCTACACATTTTGGATTGACTTAGAATTTCTTCAAACCTCATCCAACCAACATGGTGTTTAGCCCCAATGAAACAGCTACGCCAGGTACCTACGGGCCGGTCCATTCCCTGGCCTCAGTCATGAAGTCCCAGTCGGAGTGTAGTACTGGATCGCAGTACCTTGGCTCTGGGCTTCCATCTACATGGGGCTAAACCATGATTTCCCCTTCGTTCGGTGTTTGAAAGGAACACCAAGAGGAAACCGCACCAGTTTATATGTTTCTTTTTTTGGGAGGGGGTGAGGGGGGGGTCCCATGAAACAATAGCGAACACACACACACACACCGACTCTGAATCACAGTACCTTCAATGCAGCTTGAATCGGTACCCTGGAAAGGGAATCGACTGTACAATTTGGCCGGATAGCACGTTTGAACTCAGATCCGTGGATTAGCGACAAAAATGAGTACCCTCTGAAGGAGCACTTTCATGTTGAAGGGAACTTCCCTTAAAGAAAAAATGGAAATTGGCTCCGGGGATCTGGGTAAACGTCAAAGCGAACTTAAATTCAACCTAACAACCTGAAGGTGGCGATTCAAACCACCCAAACAGGTGATTTGGCGGGTGATTTGGCGGCATCTAAAAAAACAAGACCTGTGAGAATTTGTGAGATCCCTTTGAGAATTTTGAGAATTTGTGAGAAAAAACAACAAGATCTTTGAGAATTTGTGACAATAGATCCCTTTGGGAGAACTTTTCCTCCGCGAACAGAAACATTTCAACAGAGAAGACGCTCAACAAACAAAAGGGATGATGGTCTGGCCCTGCTGATTCAGCTTGGGTTGGGGTAATTAAGCCATGCTCCAATTAACCCCTCCCGTAAAAATGAGCGGCCGCAAAACCTCGCAAAACAGTGAAGCTGGTGTTTTCAGGTGATCTAAGACAACAAAGAACCCACATCACCTGAATTCCGATCGCCGAATGCATCCACAAGTGATCAAAACCCAGGAGCAAACAAACAGCACCTGGACCCTCACCCATAAAAAGGGCATTCATCCCATGTATTGGGTCAACAGGGATCCTTACATTATACACCTGAACATTGCCTTGTAAATGGTGGTTTCCCTTTATTTTGGTGGAAAAAACAACATGTTTCAAATGGGCAACATGTATCTTTTAAGGAGCCCTGCTCAATTGCCCATGTTTAAGTTGTGCGACTGTGTGAGAGTTCCGGCAACCATGCGCATCCCCAGCAGCTCAGATGGCTGTGCCACCGGCTTGAGGACCTGGGGTTCAAACCATAAGCCCCTCAAATAACCTCCAGAGGCGTCTCACAGCTGAAAGCTATGGGGGCAATAAGCCCAGGGAGCTGTGGCTTGGGCAGCTTCAGGGCTCAAAAAGGAGATTCGGCTCCACTTGTGAACAAGGCAGCCCGAAGGTAAATGCAATTGACCCAAACTCCAGAGTTGCCACTCCGCCTTCCTTTGGTTCCTTGCGGGACCCAACGGTTGAATCCCGAACACTGGCTAGAACCTACAGAGGCGACACCCCGCCGTGTGGTGATAAACACTTGCAACAAAGTTTCAGCCAAAACATGTCCGCCATGCATATTACATGTGCACACACCCCACCCCAAAACTTGGCTTCCAAACAGGGCCAAATGTATTCAGTTCTGGGGTTCGTTTGGCCCAATCAATTCCCTGGCAGCTCAAGGGAACCACAGCATCTTTTTCGGGTTCACCTTGGTTGCGTGTGCCGAACCCATCGGACAAGGAGGGCAGACGGCGTCACGGAACACACATTTTATCCCAGCTAAACTGTTGTACGGAAGAGCCATTTTCCGAAGGTCTCTTTCTTGGCCGTTTGGGCCACACCAAAGACCAAACATGCCAGTATGCCCTACAAAATTAAATCTGGAGCTTGGAATCTGAAGAACCTCAGTTTGCTTTCGGGAGATTCCAGGCATTAATATCCCCTACAAATTGATATCACTTTGTTTTAGGGAGATCCGCATTCTTTGTGGGATTGGCCCCTCGTTTGGGGGGCGAAACGAGGCTTGGAGGAAGCCTCCCTCGGATCTCTCGGCCCGCGGCTCCATGGCTTGCCAGTCCTGGCGCACCGCCTGGCGGATCGACCGCTCGACCCGGCTGGGAAGCCGGTTGAGTGTCTGAACCTTTCAGAGAGTAACCCTTGAAACACAAAACACAAGAAACCACTTTGAAATGGAAGAAGCACACAACAAGACCAACCTGTGGTTGAAATGGAGTTCACTTCTGAAACATGAACCTTTCAGAGACTATATGGCCATGGGTCAAAACCCAAATCGTACCCCAGGCCCAGGCGAATATCCCAATCCAACTACTAAAATAGGTTCTAAAATGGGTGGTGCACCGAAAACCCCCTAAAATGCTACCATTGGTTTTGACCCACAGCCATATCACCCTTGAAACACAAAACAAAACCCACTTCTGTGGTTGACATGGACTCCACGAATGTGTGATACAACAGAAAGGGCCTAAGCCCAAACACGAACCTCCCCAATATAAAGGAGGGAGATTCCAACTTGTATCACAGAAGTGGGTACAACCCTGAAACAAAAGGATTTGCCGAAACATATAAACGGCCACCATTCTGTCATCACACATTTACCGCAACCCCAGTTCCCAACAAGCATCCGAGACACATATTGCAGTTACCACTATAGCAAAGGAAAACAGGGGGAACCCATCATGTAAAATCTGGTCAGAAACCCTGACCTACTATGGTAAGATAACTGGAAGCACTTGCAGTAGGGTTCCAGAGGGTTTCCCATCATATAAGGCCTAGTCCGAAGCCCTGGTTACCTGCCGTAGTGGTACCTGGAAACACTTTTTTATGGCCAAAAAAAAACATGCAGAACCAAGAGGTCAGAAACCCTGGTTGGCTGGTATCTGGCAGCACTATAACCAGGCGAAACCATGTTCGTGGTCAGAAACCCTTACCTGTGGCGAAACGCTGGAAGCATGGAATGGACATCTCTGGGGGTTGCTGACCGGTTTCCGTCGATTCCGTCGTTTCCGCCGGAGAAACCGCCTCCAGGCAGAGGTCCGGGTTCCGGCGGAGTGCTTCGGAGGCGAAGCGCAGAGAGCACCCGGAGCTCTGCACCGCGCACAGCACCACCTCCTGCGAGAACACGAAGTTCCCAACCGATGGGATCCAGGGGGAGAGATCATGTGGTCGTTTTTTTTTTTTGGGAAACCAGAGGGAAATTTAGGTGTCCTCTTAGGGGAAATAGATGGGTTTCCCTGGTAGATGATTCAACCACCAGGTAAACCAGGGATCGCCATCTATGTTTCTACCAAAACAAACCAAAAAGGACACCTGTGGAAGGAACCCTCAAGCAAATGGCTTCGATTCGATTCGATTCGCTCGGATTCGCCTCTTCGTCCCAGAAGTCTTCCAGGAGCTGCAGGGCCTCCCCGGTCTGCCGCAGTGCCAGCTCCACGAGCTCCCGGTCCGCCTGACGCAACCGCAACCGACCGCAACCGGCTCCGTGGCTTCGCTGCTGTTGACCCCTCTGCAAAAAGAAACAACCTTTTGTGGGTTCGGTGGAAAGATCAAGCCAAATAGCAGCTGTAAAGAAAAGAAAGTGGAGCGTTGGCCTTGGTTCAGCTGGATTTCCCAAAAAGTGAAAGTCTAAAAAATCCAACCCAATAGCAGTCAAGCTGGGTGAAGCAAGAGGCGATTCGTTGTAACCCTGAATGCGAGAGAGTTGAAGACCCGGGGTCTCCGGTAAAACTGCCATGATGTTGATGGGTTGAAATTGGAGGCACACCTATTTGGTCTACTTTCACTGGAATCTGGCTTGAGGTTCACTACACGTGGACCAGAATCACACACTACCTGGTTGTGTATTGCAGCAATTTCCGAGTTTTTTCCTCCGCCGGTAGCCTCTGAGGCTTTTCACCCCGCATCAAAGTGGTGCTCAGGCTTTCTAGGAGACCCCTCGATGGCTTTGAAAGCAGAGCAAGACCGGGGCGCTCCCAATGCACCCTCTCGCTGGGGCCCTGCTTCTACAAACCTAGGCCGATGGGCTATGGAAGTTCGCCGTGGAAATCGGGTACCATTCCTCTTGCCCAATTCATGTGACGCGGTTGAGGTGGGAGCAGGTTTCCCGTCAGAGTTAATCATCAACCGCCTCTTTAGCGGAGAAATGGACAAACCAAGAGTGATACCAGCTTGGCCAACGTCCTGGGCCTTGGGTTCAAGTCAGTGTAGAAACGCGTCATACTCATAGACTCAGAATGTTCAAAAGGGCAAAGATGCAAGTCACCAACCGTGGACGCAGTCATTTTGTTTTGTTCCGGATCCAAAGAACAGCCATGCCCTTCGCGTGGGCAAAGCAAGAAGCGGGGACCGGGCCGGCGAGCGGGCATGGGTGAAATTGTAGAACGTGGACGCCACCAAGCGACCCTAAGAGAAAAAAAACTTTACCCAACAACTGCTGAAGACCTCTAGTGTCTCTCTCTAGTGCGCCACGCCCGATGGTGTAAAGAAACGAACCACCGGTTTGGGTACAGACAACAATCTTGACTTGTATCAAAGGATCCTCTGAAATACCGTGAGTTTTTGCTCCTACCAAGTCCCTCCCAAGCTATTAAACTATCCACCCCTAATTCCCTTTTTTTCCCTGCGATGTCGACCAACTTAGGAACCAGGGATTCATCTTTCCGGAACCCAAAATTGCCTGCCCGGACCTCCCTTTTTGGATCTCCGCGAAACAAAGGGAACTGCTTTTTGCGCGTAGTTGTTTGAAAAACAAACAAACAACAAAACAAGTTGTTGATGTTGAAGGGAAGCCCCGCTACAAAAAGCAAACCTGCTACAAGGGCTGGCAACTCAGACTCCCGCCTTCAGCTCGCGGCCAGCGTAGCCCACCGCCATGCCGTTCTGCTGCAGCGCCACCTGTGGCCCGCGCCGTTGCGCAAACGCGCCGCCGGGTTTCTTGGTGGCTCGTGCATGTCCCGGACGCACTTTTTGGGGGAGAACACCTCATTGTTGAAGCAGTCCCCCGGGGAATTGGCCGAAAGGACCGAACAGTGTGAGGAAACACCTCCAAACCTTAGCCCAAGACAGTGAATTCACTGTGTATAGGACGGGGAGCATTTGAACCGCAAAGAACTAAACAAGTTCGGGTCCCTAGGCCACTACTGCGCGGGGAAATTGCACGGAATGACAGTTGGGTTGTTGCAAACAACCCAACAGGGAGTTTGGTAGGCTACCAAACTAGACAGCCAGGGTCCGGAACATAACTACGGTGACCAACACCTGAAGAGAACTCACACACACACATTGATAAAAGCTGGCCACACGTTGCCGCAACATCTTGGGTCCTCCTGGGCCTTTACAGTGTCTGAACATGGCTACTAGTTGTTGGTAGTGGTTGTGCTGGACTCCTAAAACGACTTTAACACCTTACACAAAAAAACATGCCAAATATACTGGAAGCGCCAGGAAAATGCAGTGGTCGCAGCTGTTGTGATTTCCCATCCTCCTATTGGGCACTCACCAGCTAGCAATCCCCAGCGATCTCAAGTCTTGGACTAACCTACCAACCAAACAAATACATAAGCTTCGAACTAAACCAAGCTCAAATCACCCTACACCAACACCAAACCCTAAAACAACCCGTTAAGCAACTATTAAGCGACCCGAATCCAATGAACTGGGGCTTACTTATGAATCCGAGGTTCAACATGATTTGCATCTACCCACATGGAAGTGCCGGGACTCTTTGTGGACGACTAGTTTCGCCTGGGAGGGTATTCAATGGATTGAAATCCATGTCGAAGAACCTGGCTCTCAAGGGGCACAGTTGCGCGATCCATTTTGTTTTCTTTCGAGGCGGTTGCTGGAAACGCGACCTGGGATCGGGATTCGCCAACTCTCGTTTTTGGTCACCTTGCTGGTTCGATATGGGATCAACCGAAGAACTCTGGGAAATGGACCATGTTGGGATCCCCACAGAAAAACCACCAGTGTTGGATGGTTAAAACCTGGGTCATTCCAGCAACCCTACTGAGCATCTCTCCCTTTCGCCTCAACGAACTCCCGGCAATGGCGCACCACCAGCGGCATCTCCTATGGTGAAAAGCCTCCCATGGAGGTCATGGTTATCTGGACTGCCTCAGATCCCCGGCTAAAAGTTTAACTTTTAGTGGGTTAAATGGAAACTACCACTAAACACTAAAAGGCAAAAAGGCTAAGGAACCGAATGGCTGGGAACCACCAAGCTAACTGAAAAGGAATCTTTAAACCGGCCGGCTGAAATCCCTAGTCATGCCAAATCTCAGGCAAACATGCGCGAACTAGGTTTCTCCACGTCAAACATTAGTCACACACAATGGCCGCAAGTGGCACCATGCTTCCATGTGGGAATGCTATAACTGGTCCTAAGTCACTAATTGGAATGGTGTAGTACAGTACTTTCCAACAGCCATGATCAAAGGAGTGCTCCCAAGACCCAGGCTTAGACAAGACTTTGTGTCTGTGTGTCTGTGGTGGGGTGGTGAGGGATGACTGGGTAAGAACCACGTGAGTTTCCAGCAAGTAACTGACTTGACAAGTTCTTAAAAAGGGAGCTGGAATCTGCTCCATTTGTATGGGATGTGAGCGCTCTCCTGGAGTTGCTTTCTGAATTACCAAATTGGCTTCGGCGTTCCTTGTGGTGTTCCTTTACAACAACAGAAAGGTACCCTCAAAAAGGAACCACACCCGAATGCTGATTCCGATAATGTTGACTCTAAACCACTAAAAAAAAAAGTGACTAAAGTGCAGGGACTCGAGCAAGTTCAACAGGCGCAAGGGCCAAACCTCCAGTCACTGGGTGCTTTGAGCACGCCCCAGAGTGTACGGAGAGAACATGTCCTGGCAACAGACTTGAAAGCGTTCCTGGCGGGAATCTGAACAGGATCACCGTTTCAGGATTTCAGGATTAAACTCCTATCAGAGCTTGCAGCAACTTGGCTCACCGTTGTTGTGGCAGTCAAAGAAATCCGGGTAAGGTGTCGTCAAACCTTCCATGGGAACCCCAATGGTTGCATAAACTTCCTAAAGCATGGATGGCCGGCCCCCTTTCGCGACCGGTTTCGAATCGCTATCGATATCGAATCGAATCGGTTCGGTTTCAGCCAAAACGCACAGATGCATTTATTCGGGTCCGGAAAACGCATGCGACACCCGTCGTTGTCCACCGCGTGGGCCTGAGTGGCGGGCTTCTTTTACTGCTAGTATTTCTATTACTACTACTAGTACTACTAAACTACTATACCGACTACGCCTGCCACTTCTAGTACTACTTCTGCAACTACTACTACTACTACTACCACCACCACCACCACCACCACCAGTACTACTACTACTACTACTACCACTACTACTGCTACTACTACTACTACTACTACTACTGCTACTACTACTACTACTACGACCACACGACTGCCAGCACGAAAACAGCACGAGGT